CCTCATTTCTCTCACACTCACATATTTCTGATGTTGCCTGCAAAGTGTATTCCTACCTTTCCTCCCTGTCTCGCTCCTTCCTTTCCTCTCTGCTCTTTTCTGGAACTTGGTCTTTCTCTATCTTCAGCATTCTTTCTATTCTGCATTACAGTACAGAGCCATCCCCGTTGCTCACAGTCACCATCTAGAGTCTGGTGACCCACACGTGAGTGGCTCCGGCTAAATTGTAGACATTTCCAATGGCTTAATGAATAGTCTCCTTTGTCCCACAACACCATACATGCAAAGTATCACCACCAAATCTGCTTTTCCTCTCTGCCTTCTCTGCTCGATAGTGATATCACCGTCTATCCATTCTCCCATGATAGAAATGCAGAAGTCATATTACACCCTTCTTTTACTCCCTCCTTCTAAAAAATAATTAAGTCTTGTTGATCCTTCTTTCTAATAGTCTCAATTCTCCATCTGTTGTATCTTCGTAAGTGATTTTATGGATTATTGCGCTGTTCTCATTGTGGGCGTGGTGGGGTGAAGAGGTGAGAAAGAATAAGTGCATTTCGAGAAGTATTGTCTCTGAGAAACCAATACGACAAACGGGGACAGATGTCCAAACGAAAGGAGAAAACCTAGTCACAAAACTGGGAACAGAGAGGTTGTGAGTCGATTTACATAGAATTGAAACGTTCAAACCATGGATTGCAAGAAAATAAAGCAAAGGATATGGAAAAAGCTCAGCTTTCCTTTAAACAACTATGTTAAAGCATTCACTATAATAAGAAAATGTCTCAAGATTTCCAAGATACTCTCGGCACAGTCATCTTTGAAAGGAAGATAAGAAAACTTTGAATGCCTACTTCTAGGTGGCTGGAGAGGTGGAAGAGTATTTCTGGGATACACTGCTTACATGATAGGCAGTGCACCCCCAGAAATACACGTGGCTCACAATACAGTCTAGATTCCACTTTAGTTTTTGATGGAGTCTAGAGAAATGGGAGAAAACCCTCCAATACTTGTACTTCTCCGTCCCTCGGGTCCTTCACCATCAAACAAGGTGATTAGACAAGGTGATCTTGAAAGTCTCATTGGGATCTTACCTCTCATTATTCCATGACTTTCTATGATCGAAGTTCTCTTTAATCTGACAATGAATTGGCACAGTAAAAACAAATATTCCCTCTTCGTTTTACTTCAAAAATTGCTGACTCCCTAAGGAAAAAAAAAAAGTCTTATTCTACACACACAAAAATAAAGTAACCCAAGCCCTTATTTCTTTATTTAATTCCATTCAACAAGTATTTGTTGGTGCCCATCTTGTGCTGGGTTCTGTGCTGAATGGATGATTTTTTCTATTTTATTTTGTTAAATTTTTCTGTCCATCTTACTTTTCATATTTTACTTACATTAAGTGATTATATGTACAATATCATTGCCAAAAGTATATATGAAGCCTTATATTTATTGTACTAAGTGCAATAAAAAATAATTTTACCAGTAGTCTAAGCTCTAGAAATTTAAAATCTACAGAATATGCTTGTGATTCTACAAAAGGTAATTTTCTAATGTTAATAATGGTGAAATTGTTTTAGCATATTTCGAAGCTGCCTTCTTTGTTGTTCCTTCTGTATTAAAGAAATACCTAGGGCTATACCCTGATTTGAAATGGCTAGTAATACATACTTGATTTTTCATATATAAAACACCCAGGTTCTAAAACATAAGATATGTCGTTTCCTTTTAGAAGCTATAAGTTTGAAAGCTAAGACATTTCTAAGCTTAGCTTTAGAAGGTAAACAGTTTCTTAGAATAAAAGCAAAGCAGTGTTTTCTGTAAACCAAAGAGCTCTAGCTCCTGACATGGATGCGCTGATGCTGTTTTCAAAGTCTTTGGTCCAAAAAACTAAATATTCTATATATTTGCAAACAAAAACCAAAGCCACAGGTAGGAATATTTCACTTGATATATAAAAAATATTACTATGCTGTATTCTCTGATACACATATACACCTATATATATTCTGATATATATTACTAAAAATATTAGTGTATACATTACTATATATTACTATGTATGACATATATTACTAAAATATATATATGATATATATTACTATATGCTATATTCTCTGATATATATGTATATATATGTATATATTCTCTGGAAAAATACCGGAGAATATATATATACACATATATATATATATATATATATATACACACACACATATATATATACATATATATGTGTATATATATATATCAGAGAATATAGCATAGTAATATTTTTCTATAATACATAAATACTATTTATCACAGAATACAAAAATCAGAGAGGCAAAACATGTCATTTTTATATAAATTTCTGATAAGTGCTAGTCATGTCCTGAAGTAAAATTTTCAGAAATCGAATAAAGCAGGAAATGGGTACTTCCAGAAAGCATAATACAAAAACGGGAAACCAAGGTCTCTTGGCTGTAATGGAAGCATCTCTCTTTCCATTTCCTTTCCTATACCCAGAGGAGCAGTGCAGTGACGTGCGGCCATGTTCTTTCCTCATCCTCCACCCCAGTTTGCAATTCCAAAACAAGAATTTGAAGAGCCTTCCAAAATGCATACCAGAAAATAAGAGAAATAAAGAAGAAGGCAGGCAAATAGAATCCAGGAGAGAATGAAACAATGAGATTAGCAGCAGAGGCAACACAATAGAAATGTATGCTGTTCGCTTCTACAGAATCATTCTGAGGATACACAGATTTTCCTCTGATATTTTCGAGCACCAGATGCAAGAATAAAAATATATTAGTTATTCATTTTACATTTTCTATATACAAAGTTCATCATCATTCTAAGAAAGCAACTTCCCCTTGCTCTTTCTGAAAGATACTTTACTCATGGCTTGTCAATCAGGGAACTGGAGGAGGAAGAAAGCAGAGAAGATTAGGAGAGGACAAAAAAGCGAAGACGATGTGGAGAGAAAGGGTGACATGCAACCAACAAGACTGACAGTCATCAAACTATGGTGATACACAGAGATGGAAACAGCCACTTGCCCTCTGGATGGAGATGCGCCTTTGCTTAATTTCATAGACGCCTCTCCCAGTCTTCTCTTTTTGAGGCAAACTAGCAAGCAATAATTACTTCCCAGTTGCAGGATTCGGAGGTCTGATAACACCACCCTTTCCCTTCACTGATAGTTGCTCATTGGAAATGTGGTCATTAACCACATAACATCACTTTGAAATAAATGTAAATTAAGTGTATCAGAACACTTTATAGCAAAGTGAGAAATCCTCTGTTCTCCTCTTCACTAAGCTAGTGGAGAATATAATTCAAAATAACAATCTAATACATAGTATTTCTCCATATTAATACCAAATGAGAGGATAATCACTAGTTTGGATTATGTTTTTTATTTTAGAACCCACTCCAAAACACACACACACACACACACACACACACACACACACACACACACACTCACAAGTAAAAACACACCTGGGATATCAGAATGGAATAGGTGGATAATGATGGATAAATTAATTCAGGTACTCATTTGACCGCATTCTTTGTCTAAATAATGACTTGAAATGTAGGAAAGTATCTTTATTTCATTGGATTGATCCAATTAAGTATGAGTATTAAAGGATGACAGTCTAGACACTGTTGTGTTTTTTTTTTTTTCTTGACTAAAAATGTTAATTTCTATGTAAGGGTAAGTGTACATAAAAGTCACTGCGAATGCAATAAATATATCTTTTCAAGCACAATGCTGAACATATAAAAGGGGCTCATTGAATTCTTACTGAATTAGATATCTTTCTTCACGCCACTTGGTAAAAAAAATGAAAGGGCAGAAAAATCAGCCCCAAAAGAAGTGAAATTCTTCCATCCATCACAATTGACTCTATTGTGAACTTAGGAAAAAGGTGGTTGAGCAAGATAAGGCCATGATGTGGAACAAAATAAAAAACCAACAAGCTGGATTCTAAAAAGTGTCCTTCTTCCTCTCAGGCTCTCTTGATCAGTTTTATTTCTGAACTGAGACATGATCATCACAATTCAAAGAATTAACTACAAAACAAAAGTTTGCAAAGCCCATCAGGTATACAGAAATAATTTATTCAGTCTAGCTTCACTTGGCATGAAATCAATCACATTTTGGTAAGTAGCAATAGTTTGAGAAATATGTGAAGAATAGGTCAAAAGACAAATAGGAATTATTTTATAACCATAAGAAAGGAAGGACACTTATAAACAAAAGTCATATATGCAGTATCAAATAATAGGTAAGCTGCCAACAAATGGGCCTCACAATGCCTTCTCCTCAATGCTTCTGGAAGTTCCATAAATCATTCTAATGGGTCAAACATTGAAGGGTCTCAGAAGAACACAATTATTTTCAAAAAAGAATAGCATGGTAAATTCATTTGAATTCATACATAAAACAAAACAACTATTTAATCGTGTAGACCAAAGTTAAAGAAATATCTACTACAAAATTGTAATGGGATAATTAGAAAGAAACAGCTTGGGCCACTGCTTACAGCAGAAGATGGAATTCAATGCTACCCTAAGAAGGGTCAATGTCAGGAGTGCCTGTGAGTCCAGATGAGTCTCTCTTTGCTCATGTGCCACAGAACACATTCATAGTACAGTACAAAGCAGTAGGCACGGAGGATGGAAGCAAGATCGTGTTTGTTTTAATAGTCAGGAGTCCTACTCGGACCCACTCAGGTAAACTGAAGGGCAAGGATAATTATTCCTGCAGGTCACTTCTTTGAATAGTTTGCTAACTCTGAGTCCTATGTTCCTGTGAGAGGCTCATGGTGTGACTCTGACCATTCAATGAACTTTGCTGGGACAACATTCATGCCACCATATCAGAACAGAATAGAATGAAGAGCTTGCCCTTTTTTTCCTTTTGAGACAGAGTCTCACTCTGTTGCTCAGGCTGGAATGCAGTGGCACGATTCTCCTGCCTCAGCCTCCCTGGTAGCTGGGATTACAGGTGCCTGCCACCACCTGCAGCTAATTTTTCTAATTTTAGTAGAGACGGGGTTGGCCAGGCCGCTCTCCATCTCCTGACCTCAAGTGAGGTCTTAGCCTCCCAAAGTGATGGGATTACAGGTGTGAGCCACTGTGCCCAGCCCACATTACTCCTTTTCTGATTAAACTATCTCTTCAGATTAAAGCCTTTGGGTATATATACTGGAGGCAATTGGAATTCTTAAACCTTTCTCTTTCTATAACTTTTTTTCACATATTTAGAAGATTGCTGAGCCCCCTTTTATATGTTGCTGTGATCTTTGGATGAGTAACTGGGATAAGAATGCTGGCTATCTTTAGAGGAAGGCTTTTTAAATAAATTGAGAAAAATGTAAAGCATCATTCCTATAAAATGTCCACTGAAAGAGCTTTTATAGATATTCACTTTTATTTTTTATCATTTTTATTTTGTAGATTGACAGACAAAATTATATATATTTACCATACACAACATGATGTTTTGAAATAGACACACATTGTGGAATGGCTAGCATGCTGATTAACATATGCATAACCACGTTTCCTTTCACGATGTTGAACCCTGACATAATTTTTTTTTTTTGCAAACATCTCATTCTGGAGAAGGAAATGATTTTTTAACTAAAATAAACATACATTGGAAATACTTACTGCTAAGATAAGCCTGAAGGAAAGGATAGAAGAATGATGAATCAGAAAACTGACTGTCAAGAAACCAATTATTTAACATAAAACACTATTAAAGATAAGCCACGAAATGTAAGTCCTGCTGGGTAGGAAAGCGGCAACCGCAGTGAAGCATCTCTTTATATCACGCAGGTCTATAACCAACAGTGAATCTAGCAAAAGTTATTTTCTGATTTGGGGGAGAAACTTCTGCTTATTGAAAAAAATCGAAAATGTTTAAACTTCTTGAGTGCCAACGTCAATTATTCTAAATCTTAAAACCACAGTTTTAATTTTGCTTTTTTGTTAGTTTTTGTACTTTGGAGTATTTGTCTACCTTATCTTTCTATATTTGCCATATTTAGAGTCCAAAGTAAAATCAAATTGTTTCTCTCCTCAAGTTAAATGGCTCTTTCTATCTTTTTCTTTAAAAATCGTTTAAGAAAGTAAAACTTCTAAAGCAAGTCAAAAAGAAAAAATGCCCCAAATCTGAAAATGGGGTAGCTTTTCTGGCAGTAGCGCAACTTCTGCAAGTATTACAAACGAGATTCGGTATCAGAATTTTAAAGCTCCGGTAACAAAGCCATCCTGTTGACTCTGAAGAGATTTATGAAATCACTTTCCTGATGTTACTGAAACCAAAACACTTTCCTGGACGCTAAATTCAGTCCTAAACAAAGGGCCTCCAACCAACAGCTGTCATGGGCTGAATGAGTTAGACTCAACATCGTGTGACGGGAAAACAGTAAACACAAGCTAACATTTAAAAGGAATTGATGGCATGGTATAAATTGGAAATCCAAGGAGAGCCTGGCTTCAGGTATGGGGTTCTCTCTCATGCTCTCCAATCCGCATTCTCTGGATTAGGTCCATTTTCAGACAAGCTCCTCCAGCAACTACATACCATACATCTTCTCAGGTGTGGGTCCTGCGGGAAAACGAATGCACTTTTTCTCCATTAGTCTCAAATAAACTCTCACTGGCTCTGGTTGAAACACGAAACTATCCTTGTCCATTCGCCATGGCCCTAGTCACTGAATGTCTTCACACCCTGGACTAGTAATAGAGTCCATTGCAAAGCAACTGGACTGAGGATGGGAAATGAGTGATTCCCAGAGTGAAACTGAGGTACTATTACTAAATTAAGGTAAATGTATGTGGAATGTTAAAAAAAATTGCTATCCAGTATTTGCAAGGTATACTTCTGCCATCAGATATAATGTATTATTGCAAGTATACGTGCTTATCTATTCTATTTTCATTATATTTCTAATTTCTGCAGGCCTTAAAAACATATAACACAAGAGAGAAAGAAAAATTAAATAAAAATAAAAATATATATAACACTCCTAGATACTTACCCAGGAGAAAGAAAAGCATATGTTCATATAAAGACTTGCACATGAATGTTCATAACAGTTCATTTGTAATATCCAAAAGTTGTATGCAACTCAGTTCCCATTAATAGATGAATGGATTATAAAACAGACGAATGGGCTGGGCACAGTGGCTCACACCTGTAATCCCAGCACTTTGGGAGGCCGAGGCGGGTGGATCATGTGGTCAAGAGATCAAGATCATCCTGGCCAACATGGTGAAACCCCATCTCTACTAAAAATACAAAAATTAGCAGGGCATGGTGACACATGCCTGTAGTCCCAGCCACTTGGGAGGCTGAGGCAGGAGAATCACTTGAAGCCAGGAGGCAGAAGTTGCAGTGAGCTGAGATCACACCACTGCACTCCAACCTGGGCAACAGAGCGAAACATTATCTCAGAAAAAAAAAAAAAAAAAAAAAAAAAAAAAAAAAAAAAAAAAAAAAAAATACACACAGATGAATGGATAAACAAGCTCAGTATAAACACACAATGTAATACTACTTGCCAATAAAAAGGATGAATTCTTGTTATATACAACAACATGGATGATTCTCAAAATGATTACACTGAGTGAAAGAAGCTTCACAAAAAAAAAAAGGGTACATACCGAATGATTCTATTTTCATCTTCTAGGAAATGCAAACTAATCTCTAAGAACAGAAAGCAAACCAAGATCAGCAATTCCCTACGGAATAGTAAGGGTTGGCTCTGAGGACAGGGAGGGGCAAGAAGGAAAGATTAAAGAGCTACACAGGACACTTTGGGGAGCAATTGATATCATTATCTTGATCAGGGGTTGACATTTTTTTCTGTAAAGTGCAAGATAGTAAATAACTTAGGCTTTGCATATTATCTGATCTCTGTTGCAACTACTGCACTCTGCCATTGTAACATCAAAACACTTATGGGTTTTTTAATGGGTGTATCTGTGTACCAATAAAACTGTTTATAAAAACAGGCAGTGGCCCAATTGGGTCTCAACACCATAGTTTGCCAACCTCTGATCTTAATTATGGTGATGGTTTCACATGTGTATACATGTATCAAAGTTTATCAAATTGTACACTTTAATCATGCATTAATTATTATAGGTCAGTTATACCTCAGTAAAGCTATTAACAAAGAAAACATACCTGTGTTCCTCATCAAGGATTGGATAAACTCTAATCTTCTTGCCATGGCATACAAGTTCTTCATGTCCTGGCCTCTCTTCTTCCCCTATAAGATCCATTGGCATTCCCTGGTAGAACGTGCTTGACGTACACATCATGCTATTCCAACTCTACTGCTGGGGTGCTCTCTGCTACCTCTCTACCTGGAATGACCTGCTCCCACCAACTGTCTTACTCAATCATCCCACTTGTACTTTGGATTAAACTTGCACTTCCAGGATGCCTTCGACATCTTAGTCCTTCTATTCCCCCTGCCTTACACTCTGTGAGATACTTCATCTCTGTGTCCCATAATAGCTGATGTGTTTGTATGTGCATGTGTTTGTGTACACACCTACAGACACTTGCACGACTATAGTTCTTGATAATTGTAACTATATTTATATATCTAAAATGTTCTCTTTTTTATTTAGAATAACTATCCAGTCTCTGCCTCTGCTACTTTACTGGAATCTCCCTCTTTCTGTTAGACCTATCACAATGAATAACACATTACAAAAAAAAAAAAAAAACCTCACTGTGTGCAGTGGCTCACGCCTCTAATCCCAAAATTTTGGGAGGCTGAGGGGGGAAGATTGCTTGAGACTAGAAGTTCAAGACTAGCCTAAGAAAAATGTCAAGACTCTGTCCCTATGAAAGTTTTTAAAAAATTAACAGGGTATGGTGGCATGCACCTGTGGTCCCAGCTACTCAGGAACCTGAAGCAAGAGAATCTCCTGAGTTCAGGAGGTTGAAGCTGTAGTGATCGCTGTTCATACCATTACACTCCAGTCTGGGTAACAGAGCAAGATCCTATCTTAAAAAAAAAAAAAGAAAAAGAAAAAAGAAACTCAACAAAGCAGCATCGTTGCTATTATTACAGCTATTTAGCCCATATGCACATCATTGACATCATTGTAAATAGCCAAGCTAATACTGGAAAAGAATCCCATATCTAATCTCAAAGAAGCTTTCTACTAATTCATGCAAATTTATCATTGGAAGCTTACCTGTATTTTACATTAGTGCCTTTTACTGACTCTGTCACTCTTCTTCCTTTATCTCCTAGATACACCAAAATGAAGACAGCCACCAACATCTACATTTTCAACCTTGCTCTGGCAGATGCCTTAGCCACCAGTACCCTGCCCTTCCAGAGTGTGAATTACCTAATGGGAACATGGCCATTTGGAACCATCCTTTGCAAGATTGTGATCTCCATAGATTACTATAATATGTTCACCAGCATATTCACGCTCTGCACCATGAGCGTTGATCGATACATTGCAGTCTGCCACCCCGTCAAGGCCTTAGATTTCCGTACTCCCCGAAATGCCAAAATTGTCAATGTCTGCAACTGGATCATCTCTTCAGCCATTGGTCTTCCTGTAATGTTCATGGCTACAACAAAATACAGGCAAGGTGAGTGATGTTATAGGCCTGAGGGATGGAGGGTTCATAGCCTGACATGTTGGTGATGTCATGAGCAAAGCAGTATTTATGGAGTGGTCCATTGTCTTCGTCAAATTGTAATTTTAATTATTCTTTCTAGTAAGAAATGCCCTTGAATACTTTAAAATAGGAATTTTCCTCATAATTTTAGGCCTATAAAACCCTTTAAAGATAATACAATCTATGTATTCCTGATTTCTCTGTATTTACTTCATAAAAACAGTGGTAAATCGGAACACAGCTCTCCCAAGTAATTGGAGCTTAAACCCAAACAGTATTATACTGAGGCTTATTTAAAATTTCCAAGTGGCTGCTACATGGCAAATTTATCTTTCTACACCTAACAGCGGAATATTGAATAATCCATGAAAAAAATGGAGTGAAAACATCCATTAGCTGGAACCTCCTAGAGACTTTGGATAATTATTACATTTGATATCAACATAGACCTCATAAATGGTTAAGCTCATATTGAGAGGTTCATTATCGTTCCCTCAGTGAAAGCTTAATGTGATCAAAGTGGACCACAAAATGGGAAATTTAGGAAAAAAATTAGAATTAAAACTTTCTTTGAAAATCAACAAACAGGTGAGTTTCTTCCACAATTTCCTTACAGCCTTAAGTTAGTTCTGGTCAAGGCTACAAATGAGCAAGCAAAATGGCAGTATTAAAACCTTATGACATAATTAAATGTTGCTGCTAATTTTTCCTCTAAATTCTTTCCTTCTAGGTTCCATAGATTGTACACTAACATTCTCTCATCCAACCTGGTACTGGGAAAACCTGCTGAAGATTTGTGTTTTCATCTTCGCCTTCATTATGCCCGTGCTCATCATCACCGTGTGCTATGGACTGATGATCTTGCGCCTCAAGAGTGTCCGCATGCTCTCTGGCTCCAAAGAAAAGGACAGGAATCTTCGAAGGATCACCAGGATGGTGTTGGTGGTGGTGGCTGTGTTCATCGTCTGCTGGACTCCCATTCACATTTACGTCATCATTAAAGCCTTGGTTACAATCCCGGAAACTACATTCCAGACTGTTTCTTGGCACTTCTGCATTGCTCTAGGTTACACAAACAGCTGCCTCAACCCAGTCCTTTATGCATTTCTGGATGAAAACTTCAAACGATGCTTCAGAGAGTTCTGTATCCCAACCCCTTCTGCCATTGAGCAACAAAACTCAGCTCGAATTCGTCAGAACACTAGAGACCACCCCTCCACAGCCAATACAGTGGATAGAACTAATCATCAGGTACGCAGTCTCTGGAATTAGGTGTATCCACTGGGTGTGACGTAAAACTTATAGAGCTTTGTGCCATATCAAAGAGTTTAATCCATTGTCAAGGGTAGAATGGAGGGAAGAGGGGAGCAAATTGTGGCTCTAGTGTTAGAGAAGACATTTGTTATATAAACTGTGCTCTTTATATTTGACTTACATATTCATTTTGGTGTAAAGATGCACCAATGAGAAATCGGTGAAACTATTAAAAATCACTATTTTCATGGCCTTTACTTCTATGCAAAATGTATGATTTTAGCACATTGTAGAAGTAATTCTGATCTGGAAACCTTTTCCCCAGAACTATGATATAATTCATAGACATCACTTCTATATCCCTCTTGCTTCTCAAAAGCCAGTCTTAATCCAGCTCTGTGGTTAAAGAGACAGGGTCAGTGCCTTGCCCACTGTGGTCATGGGTGCAAGATAGTCACAGAAAATTAACATCACAGAAAAGGAAAAAGATTAAAAAATGACCGTCCCTAACTTTTCCTAAGCTATTGGGTTGCTACCTGAACTCTAGCACAAATATCAAACATATTAGACTGAATAATCTATTATTATCTATGAATTTTAATCCCATAAATATTATTAGATTAAACAATTTTTAACAGACCTCATGCTCGTTGGAGATAATAGGGTGAATAGGGACTAGCTTTTGGAAGGTGTGTTTCTGAGCCCAGAAGAGTTCAGAATATTCAAGCCTTACACACAATATTATAATCATATGGGAAATCAACAAGGAGGAAAGAGAAAAGGCTGTCTCCAAGTTAACATTACTTGGTTAAGCCACTGGTTGGCTAAATTTGACCTCTGATCTATAAAAATCAATAAAACACATGACAATTATTAATATTAATATAAATAAGTAAATTTTAAATAATGTTGCCAGCATCCAAAAATCACAGTCTGTATAATTTTTTTAACAGTGAATTCAAATTCAAACTTCCTATGAAGTAAAGGTTAGAGCCAGAATCTTGGTTAAAGTTCCTAGAGTCAGGGGTCAGGACTCTGGGGATAGATAGCTCCAGAGAAGAGAATAGGAAGTCAAATAGATGAGGAACCAGAGGAGGCCTTCGCCACGACAGGGTGAAGCTGCTTCCCCCCGCTGTCTCTTGACCACAGCCTCCCTCTCACTGTCCCCTCTTTACCACACGCAGCCATCCAGCCCAGTCCAGGCTCACCTTTTCTAATTGACCAGAGGAGTAATGTAATGTGGCCCAGATGCATCTGTTACAGGCAACATTAATCCTCATACCCCTGGTATTCAGTAATGCTCAAAGGAACACAGGAACTCGTACCCCCTAGAGAGCATGAGGTAATGATGGCAGACCCACTTCCAGCCAAAGGGAAATTATTAACTTATTATGTCTCACTTCTAATTTCATTTCAGAAATGAATGCCAGAAAGAAAGGGTTTTGACTCTGCTTCTTTTCTCTATGTTTTTTTACACATCAAGACCTCTAAACCTACTCCTTTTACTAGGAGATACTTTTTAAAAGTAACTGCAAAAAACAGCAATTACTTTTGCATCAACCTAATACTAAGCAGCTCTCCTATTTAATGGCTGCTAGAATCTCATAAATAACTCAAAAAGGACAGGGATTGAAATAGATATTCATCAACCTCAGGGAATAACATGTTAAAGAATACAATTTAAAATGCCCAGTCCTCAACTAAAGGTAAAATATTTTGCTTTGAAGTAAAATATTTCCATTGGAGCAAAATAATGGCCATTATAAAGTACTGACTCTTTCTCCTTAAGTGCCTTCCTGTGCCTTCTCTGTCTTGCTGGGCTCTAGAGCATGGCTGCTAGGTAGTGTACCCTGGACCACTGTAAGGACCTCTCATCACATGGGACTTCCCAGCTATCCTTCACTCCTCCTGCCTTTGTGGAAAGGCAGCTCCCAGCCTGTATGGTGGAGCATTTCTCTGAGCTAAGCATGATTATTCTTCAGTTGCCCGACACTGCCCTTGACTCTCTTCCAAGTTCAGCATTTTCACATCAATGTGGCTATTGTACGGACAGATAGAGGAGAAAGGAAGCTAATTAGAGGAGTTCTGTTCTAAGTAACTAAAAGGTTTGCTTTGAAAATACATCCAATTAGGGCTTATCTTCATTGCTGCTTCTATGAAGCATCATCAGTGTAAGATAACAGCAGAAACACATTAGCCCTGGAATTGGCTGCTGTCCCAAAATGCCCAGCTGAGAGAACTGGACACAGAAGAGAGGCTACCAGGAAAAGAGGGAAAGACTCCGACATATTTGAAAATTAAAATAAATCAAAGCTCCCTTTTGCTAATTTCCACTGATATGTCATCATTAGAATTAAAGCAGTTACATCTAGACAACTGGAACAATACATAAGCTTCTGGTGATAGTTTCAATAATATATCAATATCATAAAATGACTTGAAGGAGAAATTGAAGACTCAATAGCTGTATCTATAGGACATATTAAATTAGTCGTACAAATCCAGAATGTAACAAACAGGTGTTTGGTCATAGTTTCACATCATGAGTCATCATGTTGGAAAACAAAGCTAACAGGATTTGCATTTAACTTTTCAACTACTTGTTTGAAGTTTATATTTGTTGTAGATGTTTATGTTCTGCCTTATGTATTTGTATTTTCTTTGAGGAATATATTATACTCTAAATGTCACATTTCAAGCACATTAGTCAACTTCATATTCTGCAGATCAGAGATCCAATATCAAACCTTCCCAGGGTATCTGTATTCTGACAACTGTCCAGTGAGGCAATGTCCATACAGCGCAAAGTGGAGTGGCGATTTGGCAGTTATCAAGGTAATTTGATAAGCCAATGAGAAAATTCTGTGCCCAAAATAAGCTTGGAGTCATACTTACATACTTAAGAGCTGCTCAGTCAGATTTTGCTATATAACAAATCGTTCCAAAATTTAGTGGCTGGAAGCAATCATTCACGTAGTTTACAATTCTGTAGAACAGCCACTGGGGTTGGGCTTGGCAGGATCATTCTTCCATTGTTGGCTGGGCTTGCTCTGAGGGGAGCTGCCAGACAGGCAGGTGGTCAACTAGCTGATCTAGATAGCCTCAGCAAAAATGACTAGCTCCACATGGACTCTTACCCACTAGCATGTTAGCCCAGCCTTGTTCTCACGGTGGTCACAGATTCCGAGAGAGAAAAAGAGAGACAAAAGAGAGTAAAGCTTCTTTAGGCATAGAGTAGGAACTGGCATACGGTCACCTCCGTGCTTTTTATAGGTCAAATAAAGTCACCCTGCCAACCTAGATTCAAAGGGTGGGAAATTATACTCCATCTCTTGCTGATAGGATCTGCAATTACATTGCAAAAGGATGGGGATACAGGGAGAATAATTGTGACCACTTTTGCTAACAATCTGTAATAAGGACATGCTGCATGAAACCGGGATGCCATTACTTCCTGAGGATAGGAGCCATATCTGTCTTGCTCTCCCAGAACAGTGTCTAGCATATTAAAAAGAAAATACGTCCAGCTGGGTGCAGTGGCTCACACCTGTAATTCCAACTCTTTGGGAGGCCAAGGCTGGTGGATCACTTGGGGTCAGGAGTTCAAGACCAGTCTGGCCAACATGATAAAACCTTATCTCTACTAAAAACACAAAATTAGTCAGATGTGGAGGCACATGCCTGTAATCCCAGCTACTTGGGAGGCTGAGGCAGGAGCATCACTTGAACCCGGGAGGTAGAGTTTGCAGTGAGTCCAGGCTATGCCACTGCACTCCAGCCTGGGCAACAAGAGCAAAACTCCATGTCAGAAAAAAAAAAGAAAAAACTTCCAAAACATCCAAAACACTGGACAGATTCATATCTGTTGAATGAATGATGAGAGGGCTGAGGATATTTCAGGAGATGTGGCAGACGTGACCCCTTTCTCATGCAACTGACGAACAACCTAAATGACTGTGTAACCCTCCAAAATCATTTCATGCTTACCGTAAGTAATGGGAAAATATTGAAAATAGGCCGTCTTCCTTTTCTGCTTCTCAGCCTTTATTACTCTGATCCAATGTTACACCTTTCAAAACATGGGTTACATTCATGGTTGTTTTCTAATTTTACTTCTAACAAGTCCTTTTGATAAGGAGACCAAGAGATAGATTCAGTGCCTTAAAGAGGTCTTTCCAGGGTTGAATATGAAAAAAAACAAAAAAGATGATCTCATGTTTCTTTGTGCATGCCTGGGCTCAGCCTAGTGCTCCAGCTGTAGCATCTGTGCCGGATTGATGTTCAGCTTGCTGTCTTTATGACTTTTACATCTGTATTAGATAGACTCAGGCATAGGCATTCATTTTCCATCTGCTCTCAGTGCAATTTAATTTCACCACACGCTCCCTACACTGCTGTTGTCCTGTTGAACTCCGCTTTGCTTTCAAACACTTCCCTGTTTATTCTGATCACTTCGGGATCGACTCAAACATGAACTGTTGACCACTGCTAACCTGTCTTGCCCACTTGGTTTCAAACCGAATCGTATTCTCTGATGCATTTTCTTTTTTGTTTTTTGTTTTTTGTTTCTGAGATGGCGTCACTCTGTCGCCCAGGCTGGAGTGCAGTGGTGCGATCTCGGCTCACTGCAACCTCTGCCTCCCAGTTCAAACAATTCTCCTGCCTCAGCCTCCTGTGTAGCTGGGATTACAGGCATGTGTCACCATACTCAGCTAATTTTTGTATTTTTAGTAGAGACGAGGTTTCACCATGTTGGTCAGGCTGGTCTTGAACTCCTGACCCCAAGTGATTCGCCCACCTTGGCCTCCCAAAGTGCTGAGATTACAGGTGTCAGCCACCGTGCCTGTCCTCTAATGTGTTTTATATTTTGACATGTAGGTGTTTATTGAAAATGTTTAGCATCATATTGGGAAAAAAGCAACACTGTTAGAACAGTTGAATTATCACTAAAACAGGTGGTATAAAAGTCATTGCAATGTTTGCAATTACTTTCAATG